GCTCAGTCCGGGGAGGCCGTGTCTGTGGAGGCCAGCTGGCTTTATGAGATGGCGGCTGTGACTTTGCAGCGGGAGAACGCTCGAGCTGTCTTTCGGCGCCTCCCTGAGCCTGTGCCGATTCCTGGCCCAGGGGCCCACCTTGCACCCTAGTTGGTCACACTCCCTTCGTTGGCCTCCGCTTGGGTCCATCAAGCTTTGCGTCTTGTCTGCCTGACCTGTACCTCCCACTCAGCGGGGACGCAGTTTCGCTGTATATAGCTGGGTGCGCCGTTGCCGACTTGCTGCCGGCTGGACCGACCTTTTTCCCCGCCGCACTGAATGCCTACTGCTCGCAGCCCACGTTGTAGTAGTGGTAGCAGTAGCAGCAGCAACAGCAGCAGCAGCAACAGCAGCAGCAACAGCAGCAGCAGCAGCAGCCACACAGCAATCGAAATAGAAGAATAACAATGATAGTAATAAGACGTAATAAGAATAGTAACAATCATGATAACAACAGCAATAATCGTAGCAATCGGTAGCAGCAGCAGCAGCAGCAGCAGCAGCAGCAGCAGCAGTGGGTTCAAGAAGACAATTGTGGGACAGTGTACGTCGCAAGCGAATCGCAAATTGCAACCGAACACCAGATTGTTTCCCGACGCTCATCGGTCTCCATCCACTCCAGCTTCCCCGCAACTATGGTTCATTATTATTAGAGTCACGGCATGACAAAAGGCCAAACGCAAGATTACCAATGAAAAATGAACACACAGCTGATGCGAGCCGACGTCCATCCCAAGGATCCGACTGGCACCTTACAGATAGCAAAGCAAGGACTGCATGCTAGCCGCTGAACGACATGGCCCCAGCCGTCCAGAGAAGCTGACGAGCGCCTTGAGCTGGCCCAATTTTATCAAGACTGGCTGTCAACGCATCTGGGGCAGATGCAGTTGCTTCTCCTGCAAGCTACCAGCTGCATCTAAAAGCCTAACCACTTCGCACATGTCGCATCATGTCGCACATGTCAGGCCTTGAACTTGCGCCGCACCTCTTTGATTTGCTCTGTCTCACCTAAGCAACGTGATAGCTGGAAGAAAGGCTCATGCACCAGCCTCTGCTCAAAGGCTGAGGACATCTCTATCCTGCGAAGCTTCATCATCGTCATCTGGATGGCAGGCATCATGGCATGAGTGCTGTGGAGACGTCAAAGCCCCAAAACACCAAAGATACCCTATACCCAAAGTTCCCGCCATGCTAACGGCTCCAAACACTCGAGTAATCAGAAATGAATTCAACCCGCCCCTTACCAGGCCTCTCCCACCATCTCCCACCGCACCCCCACCCTCCGCGCCCAACCCTTCCCCTGCCACCGGAAAAAAGGATTTCAATGAATTTCGGCTCCGGCGCAGGATGCCCTGGGCTCTAAACTTTCTTAGCTCTGCACCCTCAACCAAAACAATTTGCTTAGACTATTTCTTGCTTGCCTGCTGCTTCTCTGTCGGAAGCCTTCAGGCGCCCAGCCTGTCACAAGTTGATTCAAGGAGCCCATGGTCACGACAAGGAATCGCAAACACCGGCATGGAGAAGTGTGATATGAGTTTTGCAGCTTGGGTAGCGCGGATTTGTTCGGCAGCGGTGCAACAAACTGCAAGACTGGCAGCAGGGGCATTTGTGGAAAGCTTGCCTAAGTTGAAGAGACAGGAAAATCGAGTACCATGCCTGGCTACGCTTCGGCAACAGCCTCGCCACCTTTCTCTTCAAGAAATCCCTGCACCATGTGTCTGAGGAAAACGTAGCTTTGCAAGAGACATGGTGCCCCACCTTGACGATTTGGAGGGCACCACTCCGAGCAATAGCCCTATTGTTGTGCCTCACACAGCTCAGGAGGATGAGGTAGACAGGCAACAGACTTTCAAAAGGCCTGCCTGTACGAATCAAATTATTGCCCGTGTTTTGGAGTCCGCCGCTGATGGCACCCTTGACTGTGCACTTTGCGACAGGAGGTGCGGAACAGGCACGACATTGCACACATCCCAGAGGCGCACCGTGATGGTAGATCTGCTTTTCTGCAACATTGAAGCAAGCAAGAATCTCATTCTGCCGAGGACATCCAAACAACGCAGCAAGCGGAGCGGTAGCCTTGGAAGCGGTTCCATCGTCCATCCTGGCAACAGATCACAGCCTACATGTTTTGCTCAGCCCCCAAGACAAAGTGAAGCCAAAGCCGGAGAAGCATCGACGACGTCGTTTGGCCTGAAACTACTGGTATGAGTTGACTTGCCACAGCAACTATGTTGAGTATGGTTGCTGTTAATGCAGCTCGAGCAGGAGCCTCCCAAATTCGCTCTTGCATGCTCTTGCAACCGCCTCCCTTCACTCTGAAGACATGATTCACCATGAAGAAACAGATCTGAGGCCAAATCGACCTCGCAGTGAGTTTCTGGAAGCTCCCCTGCCTCTCGAAAGCACCAGCTTCTTTAACTCTTCATAATCTTCGTAAAAATCACACTCGAAACCTTTTTTCAAGACGCGCAGGGAAGGCTCAGCTGCGGGGAGAGGCGTCGACTGTATCGCACAGAGTCTTCATCATCGCTGTCTGGCAAGGTGTCTGATGCATCCTGAGCATCTCAGAAATGAAATTGAAGAATTTGGAGTACTGATTGATTCACGAACCCTAGGACCCTTGGAGCGTTGCTGAGGTTGCAGTGGCATACGAAATCCCCGAAACTGTGGTCGATGATCGTTGCAGCTGCCTTCATGCCACCGTGCGATTTACAAAACGAGCGCCAACACCTTGGCAAACCCTGCCTTGGTCGCATATCGTCCTCCGACTTCACAGTGATGCTTGTGTCTCCCAGATCATTACCATCTGCCTGCAGTAGGGGAGATGCCAGGACAGAGCCCATGACGGAAGGGCTGTTTGTCCCTTTGCGATCGCTGTTGCAACCTTGTGCAGGTACTTTGCCCCACGGTGATCTTGTATCATCCCCACAAGCATAAGGGTGCTGCCGGTGATCTGATAGATGGCATTAGTATTGCCATGATTTGGCAGTTGTTGTTTAAGTGTTACATGCGCAAACGAGTGTAGCGTTTCCTAGAAAGGCCGTGCTTCCAGCCGTGTCGCTCTGAAGCCCGCAATCAGTTCAGTGCTTGCAGCATGAAAGAAGTTGTCCAGAGTGCTGGAGTTTCGGACATGACCCCGGTGGGTTCCCCCTTGATCCAAGGATTACCAAGTCGGAACATATCTAATATGCAGGTTTCTTTTATCAGGGACTTGTTCCGCACTCAGATTGCCCCACGCTACAAATTTCATGTTCCCTGTCAGATTCGATGCTATACGTGCTGCAAGCACCGAATCCAAGCACTACACTGCCCCACGACAACTGAGAAAACAAGTCAAGCAATTTCAGGCCTTCATACCATCTTCTCCAAAGCCTATACAGGTTCTGAAGCGAAGGGAGAAGTGAGGCGCAAGCTGAGCTGGAACAGCAAGGCCTCCATCATCCATCTGATGCATCTGCAACCTGCATCATCTGCATCTGGATCCAAAAGCATGCAGGTTGGAGATGGGAACAACTCGGCGGTGGCACCGTCTGCACCGTATCCGAGTACCCGAGGCCGAGAGGCCAAAGGAGAGCGATTGGATCTCTTTCCCAAAATCCCCTTGCCACATTTTGGCATCAGCATACTCTCCCATTCTGCAAAGCCTCCCCAGTTCCAACTACCAGGTTAGCTGGTTTCCAAGCATTTTGCCACTTTGCTAAGGTGCCAAGTTCAAAACAAACCAGTGAGGACAGCAAAGTCACGTTGTGCCGCTCCGTACCACTGTACCCGGGCATGGCAAGTGTCCAGAGCACTTGATATTCATGTCAAGGAGGGCTGAGTAGCAAGATGCACCAAGGCAGCAATATCTAACCCGCTCAGTCAGCATTTCAGCCTGCATGGATGCTCTTTCTGCCATCACCAGCTCTGTGCAAGCGACTTGAGAGCCACAGGTCGGGACTAAATCTCAAAAATGGACGGGAGTGCTGACACAGGATATGAAGAGACAGACGATATACAACCAGAAGAGCACGCGGCCCTCACTGCCCATGAGGAGAAATTGCAACCCTCCTACGGAACCTTCCTTAAAAAAGACACTCCAAGATCCCTCCAAGACCTCCCAAGATCCCCCCAAAATCCCCGCAAGATCCCGCCAGGATCCCCCCAAGATCCTGCTAAGATATATGAAACGAAGCTCCCTTCCGGGGAGCTTTCGTGATTGGGTCCGATTTCCTTCGCCCCCTGATTGGAGCTCTTCGTTCAAGGTTTACTGGACTGTACCTGACGGGCAGGCCTCGAGGCATCTCTCTGGGGTTTGCCCGGAAGACCGCCCCTAAGCTCGACACAGCTGAGACGAGAAAGCATCAATACTTCCAACTGAGGCACACGCTCACCCAACAATCGCCTAGCATGTTCCAATCATGAGAAAGGCTTACTGCGACAAGATGCCCTTACGAGTAGCTCCTAAATGAGTGGTGTCAAAATGCGGTCCAGCGAAATTGCAAACATGGCAGGCAAGCTGGGTTTCACGTTGCTTCTTTTTGGCTTCTTTATTTGCTTTTCTCTCTTTCTCTTTTCTGAGCTTCTCCTCTTGTCGAGTCCTTTTACGCTCAGCTCGTGCCTGGCAGCAGTTGCGTCAAGTTGCAGGCAGACATTAATCTTTTGTGCCGCCTGCTGCTTCTCACGAAACTCTCGCCGCCTCCGCTTCTCCTCCTGATCTTCCTGCAAGTGGCACTGCAGGTTGGCGGCACCGCAGGTGGTTTGAGAATTCCAAGCAGTTGCCTCGATCTCACCAAGGATTTGCTTCTCAACTTTGGATTGCCTCAGAAATGTGCAATGCTTAGCTACGCGAACAGCACGTAATAATACACATCTGTGGGGAATTTGATCCAAATTGGATGAGCTTCCTTCAACGTTGTAGACATTAGCATGAGTGCAAGGGTTCCAGGTACCCTTAG